TATTATACGTTTGACAGTTTAATTTCTGTACTTGAATATTGCAGACTCTCCAGAAAATCATAAAGCATTGTTTATTTAACTTTTATTTTTGATCTGAGTAATTCCATGAAAATGTCAACCTTGCCATGAAAAAAAGTTTTCGACAAAATATCAAAACCGTTTCTGCATTTGTTTTTGTATAAGCAAGTATTTTACAGTGCTTTAAAATTACTCAAAAATGTCTCTGTTAATGTTTTCAAACTATTATATCACACAAGTGCCAATTCCACATCCGTCACATCCATAAGCAAGCTTTTTCCTGATAAATGCAAAAATATGTTAAATAAAATCAATAATTTTGGTTCTATAGAGAGCCAACTCTTATCATTTAGATTAGCATTGTATATGTTTAGATTAGCATAGTTTCTATTGGGTAGTGCAGTTTAATTCACAGAATTTCTACAAATTATGTTGTACACTGTAAACTCACAAACTTGTTTCGTCACATCCATAACGCATGTCCATTTTCCTAGTTCAAAATGTGAAAAGCTTCAGAATAATATGGTTCTGCTCCCTTAACTCTGTAGTTAGTTTTTTTGTAAAATATAAACAGATGTTTCAATATAATGTTAACATACACTTTCTCTGTGAATTTATATTTTGAGATTTTACTGGAAATTCCACATCAATAACGCTGGATTTGCTCATCTATCAGATTTTTAATTTATTGTATTTTATGGAGATTCGCTAAATAAAAAAAACTTGATCATCCCATTCCCATGTCAGATTTATTCAAAATCATGCAGCCCTAGAACATATCTCCAGTGAATCTGCAATGTAAATATCTCACAGCTTCTTTTTGTAGCCAAAATAGAAGACAAATATACATCTATACTGAGAATATTAAAAACAATTATATATATATATATATATATATATATATATATATATATATATATATATATATATATATATATATATATATATATAATGTATGTATATAGTAAGAACTTGCTAGTAAAAAAACATAAAATCACAAAACAAGTCAATATGAAATATGCGCTTAAAACAGATAATGCAGCAACCCATTGTGCTGCAGCCCCAATGAAAAAGCCACTGCACCTCATCCAATAGCACAAGAGACAAATTAGGCAAGCGATTCCCCCAAACTGGCAAATAATGCTATCAACATCCCATCAGAAAGTCAGCAGACCTCCACTAATTCTCCCCCTAAATACAAAAAGACAGACAAAAGGAGATAAATGTGAGCGAGGTAATAGTCGTACATCATCTCCCTTACGTACACACGCTGTCAATAGGCCTTGGCGAGGTCTTGGCGCTAATCACTAGCGCTAGATAAAACTGTGAGGGTTAATGGTCCATACGGCCCTGCGGCACAAGAAGGATCAAGATAGCAGGCAGGCCTCTGTATCACTGCCCTCAACAAATCCATCGCTCGCTTGCTCTCTCTCTCCGCAGTGGAGGACGGACGACTTGTTAGGTGGGGGCAATCGATTCAAGCAGAGAGCACTCTTTTACAGCCCAACATTCAGAGCTGCAAAACTTATTGTAAAGTCAGCGGGTGAAAGGGAGGGAGTCTCGCCCTAAAGCGCTCCCTTTTGTAGCCCTGTCACCTTGCTCGCAGATTTATAATGCTCCATTACAAAAGTGTGCATCGAAGCCCTATTCAATTAGCCTATCAAATTCTTTATGGCCAGATTGTGAATGGGTTATCAGGGCTGGAGATAAGAGAATTTACAGAGCTCGTAATGATTCACAACAAAAGGGCTTTGCGCACGCAATGTGCTCCCTGTGCCTTTATTAAAAAAAACAAATAACCTGTCCTGAATTTAATCAGGCTAAATATGCTTTAAAACACAATCGAGGAACATTGCGTAACTGATAGAGACAAATGTGACCTAATTCATTTACAGAGTATTACAAGTGTGTGTGTGTGTCATACAATATACTGTAAACTAGGGCTGCAAGATATTGGGAAAAAAAAAACGTACATTGCAATATTTTTATTTCCTGTAGTTTATAGAGATATTTCACCAACTAGCTTGAATAGCTTTATTTTGAAATATTTAATACATTTATATTGAATGGGAAGATTTTCCCAGTGATGTTTTGCAGCTGGAAGGGCATCCGCTGTGGAAAACATGCTGAATAAGTTGGCGGTTAATTCCACTGTGGCGACCCCTGATTAACGAAGGAACTAAGCTGAAAAGAATGAATGAATGAATGGGAAGATTTAGTAAAGGAGTGCAGCTTCAAAAAATATATTAGACTAATAACCAGCCTAAGCATATACAGTAAAGCAATGGTATAATTGAGTCTAACATGTTTTTAGGTACAGATATAAAATAATCAAACGAACAATAAAGTTGTATAGTCTTCATTATATACATTATTAAATACAAAAATATTTTTTACAAAAGGCAATAATTCCTTGTGACCAAATGCTTTAAGTTCATTTAAAATGCTTACAATGCTTACGGTCACAGGCCTTAAAACAAACTTTCTAGAGTTTATGGTTAAACTGAAATGACTCCACAATTGTACCTGGCCAACTATGGATTTGCTCTTCAGTGTTTGGTCTTTCAGCAGTGAAAATTAAACCACACTGAACTGAACTTAAGTGAAAACTGGAGTTTCAATCTACTAGAACTTCTATGTTAAGCTGCTTTGACACAATCTACATTGTAAAAGTGCTATAGAAATAAAGATGAATTGAACTGAACTATAATCCTGACTCCACATTACAGATCCTGCAATGTGAATAATGCACATTCACACATTGCGATATCGATGCTACAACGATATATTGTGCAGCCCTACTGTAAACACACAAAAAACACACATGAACTTATATATACGGTTGAAGTCAGAATTATTAGCCCCATTTTTTATTAGCCCCCCTCTGTTTAACGGTGAGAAGATTTTTTCAACACATTTCTAAACACATATCTCATTTCTGATAAATTATTTATTTTATCTTTGTCATGATGACAGTAAATAATATTTTACTAGTTATTTTTCAAGACACTTCTATACAGCTTAAAATGACATTTGAAGCCTTAACTAGGTTAATCATGTTAACTAGGCAGGTAAGGGTAATTAGTTACCCGCTATTGTATAACGATGGTTTGTTCTGTAGACTATCGAAAAAAATGTTGGCTTAAAGGCGCTAATAATTTTGACAAAAACAATTTTTTTTAAATTAAAATCTGCTTTTATTCTAGCCAAAGTAAAACAAATAAGACTTTCTCCAGAAGAAAAAATATTATCAGACATACTGTGAAAATTTCCTGAATCTGTTAAACATTATTTGGGAAATATTGTTTTTTTTTGTTTGTTTTTATTAAAGGAGGGCTAATAATTATGACTTGTTATATTGTAAATATGGTACGTTAAAAACTAATTTTATATATTTTATTTTGATATTCAAATGACTATTATTGTTGCTACTATAATTATAAGAGGAAAGATAAGGGAAAGATTTTAATAAAGAGCTTACTAGTTTGAAAAGGATATACTGTATTATAGTATATGAAACACACATATTCATTTATAATTATAATTGGATTTTTTGGTCTTTGTAGTGTATAAAAAGTATCCGAACATACTTTTCAAATGAAACGGAACTATATTCAGTTAAATTCTACTGCATTTATTTGATTTTTTGACATTCAATTAATTTAATTATAATTTCATATAATAATTTAACTAATAATATAAATAATTATTAAACTAATAATGCTGTTATTATGATTATGTATATTATTATTATTGATAATAATGACTATTAGTATTATTAATTATAATTTTCCCAGTGATCGGTTGCTGATAGAAGAGCATTCACTGCATAAAACATATACTGGGTAAGTTGACAGTTCATTCCACTGTGGCGACCTCTGCTTAATAAAGGGACTTTATATAAAGTCCAAAAGAAAATGAATAAGTGAATGAATGAATGAATGAATGAATAATAAAAATAGAAAAATGTATTATTATTTTTTATAATTAATAACGATAATTATTATTATTTTGTTATTATTATTGATATTGTTTTTATTAATAATAATAATAATTGTTAATATTACTAATATTATGTATTGTTATTAAGTATTATTATTATTATATGCAAATACATTACTAAAAATTAAGAGTCTATTAATTTGAACAGGTTAATAAATGTTGTGTGTGCATGTATAATATAATGGACACTCAAGGTTATTTATGTATCTATATTTGTGTGTCTGTGTATAAATGTGTGCATGCACATTGCATATACACAAATTTAAATACATAGGCTACCCTACAGGGAAAATCTCTCTAACCTTACAAAAGAATATGCACTGTAGGCTTCTATAATATAAACATATTCATATACATCTGCTCCATATATTCTTATAAAAGCACACACACACACACACACACACACACACACGCATCAGACCTGCTCTGACATTCATATTCAAACCATAGACCCGCATGTCTCAATTCTGAATGACAAATAGATTGTGACGACTAGAAAATAGCACTCAATTTCCTTTTCACTAATGCAGCCAATACACTGTCCCCTGGATCGATGGAGAAGCGCCGTGAGACGCTGACCATTACTGTGATTGAATCTCCACTTTGACGCTCTAATATGGAAGAGACTGTGCTACTTTAAGTACAGTGCTTCTTTTAGGCCGAGAAGATGGATTAATACAGTCTCTCTCGCTATAAAAGATGGCCCAGCTCTGTATAGCGGATCTGTCTCTGCTAATGCGCATCACATACAAAAATACACCCGCTAAGTAAAGCAGCGAGCTGGCAGTCAGAGCCCATGTCAATTTAAAAAGAAAGTAAAAGCACATACAAACACTCACGTCAAAAAAAAAAAAAAACTGTGTGCATGACCTGTGACCCTGTCGGGCTGAAGAAAAAAAATAAATAAAAACAGTGTGCGCAAGTAAAGGAAAGGATAACAGTTATAACAAAATGGAAATGCAAAACGCCTGGAGGTTTACCTGAGAGGGAGTGGTTGACATTTGGACATCTGTCAATCAAGTGTTCAATGGTTGTGGGCATGAGGCTGTTGTCATGGATACGGCTGTAGGTAAAAATGTGCAGCCTGCTGGGTCACTCCTTTGACTGCGCTGTTCGCAGAGGCCCTGCGCCCTCATTCAGGTAGCAGCCAGGGGCAGGTTCCCATGCCAACGCCCATCTATTTGTGAAATGTAAAACCAGGTAGTAAGAAATGACATGATTTTCCTTTCACCTATGTTTGTATGTCACGTACACACTCACACAATGCTTAGCATAACTGAGTACACCCCGTTTTGAAAATAATAATTTTTATATATTTCTCAGTGAATATGGGTAATATATATTGGTGCATTTAAACATAACAGAAATATTTATTAAAATAATATTTTAGTCACAGAACATCTTTAGAAATGGAAAGTAATACAATTAAATTCATGCAAAATATAGCAAAGAAAATTACAACCTACACATTTAAACTAAATTGTATATTTTTTGTTTCTCGTGATTTTTAAAAAAATTATTTAATATAATTATAAATTTGGGCTACTAATTTTTGAACCATTATTGTAAGTTATTTTGTTAGATAAGCTCTAGATTTGGCTTTAGTACTGACTAATCTAATGTACAAATATTGTATAGCTTCCTCTAGAAAATATTAATTTAAATGAGAGATTTGTGGGGTTTATATTCATATATGCTGGGCACTGTGTGTATATATAAAATAACATAGTAATAACTTGACAATTATTGGTTTCTCTGGATTTATTAAGTATTTCTTAGGTAAAGTGGTAATATTTGTATGATTATATATTGTCATTTTATTATATATTGATATATATTAAGCATTATTATTATATATTGAGCATTTTTTTAAAAATGACATTTGGTCAGAACAAGAAGTTTGCTTTCTTAACACTTCTAAAGTAAAATATTGGTATGGTATCCTCTAAAATCTAAAAATGAATATAAACATTTAAATATGTAATTTGTTTTCGGTATAAATAAAATAGTCTAGAACACATTAAATATCAAAAGGTGCAATGTTTTGTATATATTCACTTTTAGACAATACAAATATTTTAACTCCAGAAAAGGATTAGTATTTGCTGTAATAACCCTGATTTTCAATGACAACACATTAAAACATTTTTTATTCATCAATTGTGATTCTTTGAAACAAAATGCTCTAAATGACATTTCTATTACAATTTTTGAAGGTTTTTTAACAAACCTTTAGAGAATAAAATGAATTTTACCAAATTTCCCAAAGCCGTAACTGATGAATCCAGGGAAACTTCAAATTAGCAATTTGTCTCTTAATTTTTTTCCAAAAAAAATCAATCTCTCCAACAAAGAAGAACTGGGATAGAACATTAACATACAAGCATGAGAGAGATTAATCTATACCGTATGACTCTATTGTGATTCATCTAGCTATACTTTGAGAGCTAATCTTTTAAAGTTAAACATACTAATATCACTATCATGCTCATACATGGTTAAATGATGGAAATGTTTGAAATTCTCCTGATATTCTGTTCATTTATTTAAGGGACAGTGTTTCCTTTGCTAGATTCATTTGTGTGAATATTGATTCAACTTTTGATGTTTAATTGTAAAATAAATGTAATCTTAATTATCCTTAACAAGGACATTTGTGCTCCTGGTAATGTTCGTGGTATTGTTCTGCTGGATAAATAAAAAGAAACAAAGGCCCTGGGTTTGTACCTGAGGTGATTTATAAATTATAGGACATTATTTTCTTCCAACTGGTACATTTTAATAAATCGGTGTTTTAATTGGGTGCTCTGTATTTAAAGTGTGATCGCTATGTGGTTAAAATCAACTTTGGCATTTAGCGAATGAATAATCAAATGTTCACCCTTTTGTCAAGCGACGATCATCGAAGCACTGACAGGTCAGTTTGAGCAGTTTATGCGGTCTTGCGCGCCCTCTAGAGGTTCAATAGAGCTACTGCATATCCCAATTTAAAGGGACAGCTCGCATAAAAATGACAATTCTGTCATCATTTACTCATCCTCCACTTGTTTCAAAACTGTTTGAGTTTTTTATATTGTTTAACACAAAGACAAAGTATTTTGAATGATGATGGAAACCTGTAGCCATTTAAATATTTATCCCAATATGGATGCCAATGGCTAACAGTTGTCTTGAGGAGTTAATTCTGAGAAAAGTTTTATTTGGTGTGAACTGTCCTTTGATGGCAAAGTTACAAATGCAGCCAATGATTCAGTCTCATTCTGTTCAAAATCTGATCTCAGGTATGGTGTTCTCTCGAACAACATGCAATATCTCTGCTGAAAAGCATGCAATGGAGGTACATGAGGCCGAGAATATAAAAGCTCCTGCTTGTGTTTTTAGGGGTTTGTGTCGAAGTTAAGATATGACAGAATGTTAACGTGTAGATTAACTAACGTTATCCCTTAACACCATAACACGATTTAACAGGTACTTCGCTTAAAGAACCAATTACAACAATTGTACAAGTTAGTACAAATGTTCCCTTGAGAACACAATTCAACAGTAGGCTAATAGTTGTCCCCTGCGTCAATTAACTGTTAACTTAGCCATGGACATATTATAGTAAAACGTTGACAACTTTGTTGACGTTTTATTAAACGTTTTACTTTTATTAACGTTAAATTCGAACTGATGACAGTAGAAAAGAGTTCATATAGTAGATACTACGTGAAACACTGTTATACGATTTGTGTGTGTGTGTGTAGTTAAAATACCTCAATAAGCTGCATGGTGATTCATAATCATAACCAACATCATAATCGTCAAACACCATAATGTGGTGGTGTACAGCATTTACATACAAAAAACAGGAATTTGTGTTTATAAATAATAAAAAAATGGCACAGGGCCCGTTCAAAAAGCATTACTTGCCTGTGTAGTAAGTTCGTCTCAAAGTTGAGGTTGTTTTAACGTTACCCCTAACGTATTTTCCGATTTCAACCTGCTGCCGCGCTTTTTTTTAGTGTAATGTTATTATGGCTTCTCTTCTTCGATTTTCTCATAGAGCAAAGCTGCCATCTGCTGTTGAGCTGTAGTACTACAGTCATTTCAGCTTCGAAAACAACTGACTGACAGGTAGGACCAGGCAGCTGATTTATATGGTTATACTATGAAGATTAAGAAAATAATAACACGTCGTTGACAAGTTCGAAGTACAGGTTAAGCGGTGACTGGAAAATGGTGTTCGAGACCTTTAGGCGTAACCGTCGTTGACTCGTAAACGTCCACGTGCTTATTTAGAATTAATCAAGCTCGGTTTTAAAACTATTTCATGAGTTGTCACCTAAAAGTTTGCCAAGTTATTTAATGTATGAAAACTATACGAGTGGAGGAAGAAATTATCCTTCTCTAAATGGCTGTTATCAAAAAAGGTGTTTTGCTGGCACTAATTTTAAGTAGCTGCTTCTGCTAAGCGAATTAAATGAACTTATTTTCTTCTGTAATTTACCCTCTTAATCGCCCAATTAGTTGACAAACTCCTTTAACAACTCCGAAAATTAGCTTTTTTAAGCTAATCTTTACACAAGCCACAAACCTCTCAATATTACCACAACAGTTAAAGACTCACGTACTGTTGATAGCTGGTGATTTATTTGAGTGTCATCAAGCAGCACCAGAAGTTCTGCTATATTTATATATTTTTTAAATCCTGTTTTTCCACTCAGAAAATGACATTTTAAAGTTTGTCTTCATGGCACAAGTTGTAGATGTAGCTGTAAATTCCAATCATGTTTATTCAAAATGTCGTGGCACGGTGGCATACCTTAATTCAAAGTCATGAGTTTATTTTAAAAAGTAACTTACGACGGAAACAGCCTCGTCAAAACCTGTCAATATATTTAACTCCATGAATAATTTCAAAGTAGAGAAGAAAAGAGAATGATGGAATTTAAGCAACCAATTTTGCCGTTTCATGTTGAAAAACTGACAGAAAAGACATCCAGGTCCACCAAAAGAGCTGCATTAATCCCTTATAAGCGAGAACACAGTTTTTCCTCAGGTTTGTGGTAATCCAAGTTCAAGTACAAATCCAAGTTGCTGTAGTCCATTTGCCCTTTGCCCTCCGCGACACATTCCTCATGGTTCAGATAATCCACTACTTTTTCCAAGAGAGACGAGTTTGGGAGCAGAATCCACAACACCAGCCAGAAGTTTTCCAGAATATAAACCTTTGCTCAGAGGAAAAAGGAGCAAAAAAGCAGTTGAAAAACTTGACAGGTCAAGGCACAGGAAGAGCGAGAGGCCTTTGAGAAAGGTCAAAATGAGAAAAGTTGCAAGAAATAAGCAAACAAGGAAGAGCATGAGGAAAATGAAAAGACCACACCAGGAGCATGAGAGAAATAGAGAGAGAGAGACGAAGAGAATCTGGTGGTTACCAGAACCACCCACTGTGAAGACTGCAAATGAAGAGTCCAGGACCAATCCTTCCCTCCCCTCATTCACAAAGCCATAGTCCTGCACTGCCTTCTAGCCTTTCCACAGCATGAATATATTACTAGCCACACAATGACGTTGCTTATTGTTTATGAATTACCGGCCTGCCTGACAACAAAGGCTATTTTCATAAGAAAACTCTAATTCATTTCAGTTCCTATTTGATTAGAGGCAGAAGAAAAGAAGCCCTTCGGTCATAGCCCCCAGAGGACTGTTTTTATTCAGTCCGTATGAATAGGGCTTTATTGCTCTTCTTTTCAAAAGCTGACGGGGAAAAGCTTTTAGAGTTAAACATTGACGAAAAATTATTGGGCGGCTGTTTTTGTGCAATAACAAACCCCTTCAAAAGGACACTGAGCTCTTATCCTTCCACCACTCACTCACTCTTTTCTCTTTCTTTTTTGGCAAATTGTAAAGCCTGGAAATTAATGACAGACAGTAGCAAAAGAGGGAGAGGGAGAGAGAGCAAAAGAGAGAGACCAGCTCAGCTACAATGCATGTCAAATCTAAATGATCACAGGCTACTGAATAGACCAAAGGAGAGAAAGAAAGGGAGAGACAGGGTCTTAGACAAGCATGCGTGTGCGTGTGTGTCTATGGACTGGTCAAAAGCTAATTGATTCCATGTCCACTGAGTCCAAGTCATACCTTTCGCATTTCAACAACAGGTAACTGCATGATAATACCTGGAAGTCAAACTTTTTGCACTGTTTCCTAAACTTGCACTTCAAAGCAACATGAATATCATTAACGCAGGTTTAAAGCATCTTTTGTGTCCTTTCCACAAAACAGCTTCTCTGAAAACGACACCCGTCTTCCAAACTCGATATGCTGCAAAAAAGCAAAGCGAACCTCAGAGAACAAAAATGAAAAGGCCAACCTGGCATTTATCAGCGGGTTTTATCTATACACTAAAGGATAAATCAGGATAAATCAGGGCTTCCTTTTATCAGGAGGGCATTATGCTCCTTTGTATTTATGCAGGAATATTTAACAGGAGACAAAAGGTGACTTTCTCCTTATTCATCTGCGAACAAGGCAATGCTGGCATTCTGAAAAGCCTGACATTTGAGCTTTTTGCCAACACCAGCAAAATTATATCCTTTCCATTGTAAATCAATGAAGTAGAATCATCGCCCACAAAGGGACTAGATTGCCTTGTCACTGTAATAGAGCCTGGTGCATGCACAACCTTCACCCAGAACTGTTGTGTGCCGACGAAAGACATAAAGGGCATAAAGTCACCCTTGTCGTTATGCCCTTCCCCTTGATGGAGTACAGAAACCTAACTTTAACTCCTGAGCTACCGCACCCAACATGTCTGTTTGTTCACACACAGTTAACACAGGTGTGAGATGAGTTATCTCATTATTCATCTGATAAACATGATGTCAGGTTAAGAGTTGCAAAAATGTTCTATCAATGAAAATAAAAGTAACTTGAGACATTTGTAATGGTACTAAGACTTGTAAAATACTAATACAAAACACTTTATAAAGGGCAGCACGGTGGCTCAGTGGTTAGCACTCTCACCACGCAACAAAATAGTCGCTGGTTTGAGTCCCAGTTGGGCCAGTTGACATTTCTGTGTGGAGTTTGCATGTTCTCCTCGTGTTCATGTGGGTTTCCCACACAGTCGAAAGACATGCGCTATAAGTGAATTGAATAAACTAAATTGTGCAAGTGTGTATGGGTATTTCCCGGTAATAGGTCACATAGATCACACATAGAAGGTAAATCGCATCATCAAGACATGGGCTATTTATAATTGCAGCAAACCATTTGGAAGCATTAAAAGTGTCCAAGAAGATGTCCAAAATCTTTACACGCATTGACCCAGAAACTGTTTAGATGCAGGTCACTGATGAGAAAATGTCAGATGTTTACAGTATGATGACCCAAATGGCCTCAAACACTCAGCAGGCACAATACATCAACATGACATCAGATTGACGTTGTACCCCAACGTCATGGGGACATAGCATTTTGTTTATAAATGAAAATAGTGTTGACATTAGAGCCCATTGTCAGGCCGATGTCAACATTCAACCTAAAATCATCCAAATATCAATGTCTAATGATGTTACAGCTTGATGCTGTGTGGACGATACCACTATGATGTCTTTCAGATGTTGGATTCTGGTTGCCATACCTGATGAATGAATGTCAGTATTTGACATTAATATGACGTTGGTTTAAGATATTGGCTCGACTATTGGCTCGACGCTGGATTTTTGTTACTTTCTAACACGAGATAAAATCAAACAAATATCAACATCATTTAATCGTTATTAGACATCAAAATAATGTTGTGCTTAAAGGCGGGCTAGACATTGAATTTAGGTCATCTGGCATCACAATATAAATCTAACCCAATATTAACGTCTTATGATGTTGTTTGCCTGCTGGGCAATAACTAAATGCACTACAGAATGTTACGTTTACACACATCCACAAATTAGATGTAAATGCCTCAGCTTTTTAGTCATGCATCAGTAATACTCACAACTCTTGAGTACTTTTGAAAGGGCTACTTTTTACTCATACTTTAAGGAATATTTACAACAAATGCTTTTAATCTGCTTGCACTACATGTTTAAGCAAGTAATGGTACTCTTTCCACCACAGAACAATAGTTTATATATCAAGTAATCATGTCAGGCATATTTAAAACAAGAATCATTTGATGCCATAAAAACAAACTATTTAAGTCAATATACTATTTAATATAATTTTTAATAAATGACTCAAGTAATGTTATGTTGATGAAAAGGGTAAAAAAAAGGCTTGTCTTTGACCCACATATTGTTTATGATCAAGTTTGTTTGTTCCATTTAAACTGAACAGATGCAACCGAAGAAGCAAATAAACTGTCTTTATTTACAGAATTAATTTACAGTAACATGGATCTGAGATAAAGAACACTAAATAAATATCCTACATGAATTCAGATGAGGTTATTTTGTAAGAGCTATAAGGAATAAATGTCAAGTACAGTATAAAGTCACAGATAGTGAAGTTCATAAATAAGAGGTTGGCTTATGCTTTGGTCACGCAAAATATAAATGACACTGCAATGTACAGTCATAACTGGAATCATCGGGGAGGGGATAAAAGCTTTTTTCACCGGTATGATGGATATATAGAATTCCCGTCACAGCTTGAGTCACAATGGCACCTAAAATATGCACTGACACACATATAAGCTTCATGTTCCACATTCAAAAAAATAGTGCGGCTCTTGCTTTGCTGTTTGCACACACTGTTGAAATAATAATTAAATATCAACATCTGCATGTAAACAATTAAATGGAATGGAGAAAGTTCACATCATGAAAGTATTCACAGAGTAAAAATTTTAAATCAGTGTGCATCTAAATAAAAGCCATTTAAAAACCACAAGTACCTGTAAAATCTGATGATCTCTTGAACTCTTGTAGTGATAAAGGTAATTTTGTAGAAAAACAGGACACTCTCGATCCCAAACTGACTAAGGAACTGTCCTTCTCAGCACCTATCATCAGGTGGAAGACAAATTCAACAGATAACATTCATGCCGCCTGATGCGATCATGATTGTTAAGCAATAAAATTAGTGTTTTTCAATTTTTAGAGCCGTATTAGATTCAACACGTAACATTTTTATGCTACTGCAGACTCATATTAACCCATGTCCATGATAAAGGTAAATTTATATGACCTATAAGGGCTTCCAGGTCATTTATCCAGTTTAAAATAAGAAACCTGTAGTAAGAGGGCAGCTAATATCATAAATTTGTCTCATCCCAAGAAGGATCATTCATATTCTTTAGCATTTTTTTAACGATCCTCTCCAAATCTTTCCGAGCTCTCTGTTCTTCCTCCAGGGATTTTTTCATTTTTTTATAGTCCTGTTGAAAGGTTAAAATCCGTTAACTAGGAAACAGAAATATCAATGTTTTCTATTTTAATACACATATACAATTAAAAACATCATAGAACCCTCTCAACTCTCACCTGTTTAAGTTCTTGTACTTCATCTCTCAGAGCATAAACAACATCAACAAGACTCCTAAGGAAAAAAAATAATATTTATTGTCATTAAATATTTTTTATGCGTAAGCTCTTGAATATGTTCCCTTGACAAACAACCATCTTCTTTACATATATTATAAAGCCTGTTCTGAGTGTGGACAAATATGTACGATAAATATGTCTTACTTCTCCTCCAGAAGAGTCTGACCGTTACTCTTCAACTCGTCTACACTGAACTTCTCGTCGCCAGGAACTATCAATGCTGGACTGCCATCTTTCCACTGTCCTGTTTCAAAAGAAAAGCCCCGCAAATTGATTTCAGCTAGTTTAGTTTAGTTGGACTTATCGATTAGCTCAGTACAGGACCACTGTGCCCCAAAAACGATTTGGACTGGATCAAACTTACACAGGACTGTGCGTGAGTGAGACAGGAGTTAGTCATGCAGAGAGGGATCATCCAAGGAAAATAAAAACATTCAGAAGAAGAAGAGAAAAAAAAAGGACCAAGGGGTTTCTTGAAGGGTGGTCAAACTGAAACTTTCCTCAACCACACAAAAATCAAAACACCTGTAAACAATACAACACCAAAAACCGCTAAATAAAACCAAACAGAAATCAAAACCATTCAATGAAAAGGAACACTTTTGTTCCAATAGATCAATTCCTGAAAGGATAAACATACTGTACAAAACAACCCAAGATTTATTTCAAATGTATATTACAATGTTTGTGGCATGTTGTCATATATTTGACTCTGCATATATATAACAAACACATTAATAATGTCTTCAAACCACGTAAACATCACTTAAGTATCTCTGTTGAAGGATTTTAAGAATATCTGCATGAAACAACCGACAAAAAAAGTAGTAAATATTCACATTTTCTTCTTGTTCATATATTTTTTAAACCACAGAATAGAACTTGGTCACAAGGAATCACATAACAAGAGGAACTATACTCTTTGTCATTCTTGAAATAATTGGCAAGTCGGTTTTCTTCGTCTCAGAAACGAGTCATACATAAGAGAAAAGCATCAAACACTGAGGCTTTGACAGAGTCTTGAATGAATGGTGAAGAACTCTTGACTAGTACCATCCACACACCTGATTTAAATGGAATAGAATTTCAACCAACATTAAATTCAACCTTTTTTTGTAAACTTCCATACTTTTCACTATAGACACCACTGTAAACTTACATGTTAGATACAAGCATACAAAAAGTCCAAAATACATTTACAAATTGAAAATAAATACATTTATGTCACACAATTATGAACAAAACGTTGTCAGTAATACTGTCCGAGATGCCATCTGAGATCCATAAATATGAATTTCATGAACTCATTTATTCAGCTCAATCTAATTGTCACATTCAGTAAACAGAGTCCAAGTAAATACCACATATTTCAGATGAATGACAATACTCTAATATTTACAATCTTTTCTCTTCTTTTACAGCAGAATCTCTCCATGTTGCCTTCTGAGTGCATTATACCCTCAACAGCATTAATAATTCAATACTTAAGGGAATGAAGGAATACAAACATTTTTAAAGGACACTTAAATAAATACTGTATGCGATGCAAACAACGTAAAAAAAAAAGTTGTGTGAGGTTTGTGGTTCTGGGGAGTTGAGATGTCAAGGCAACAGGGAACTGCTTTGGGAAAGTGCATACAGTATATATGCAGAAAATGATGAGGTGTGATTAAAACAACACTGATAGATAGATAAATAAATAAATATAAAAATGACCAAAATAAATATGCATCATGACAGGGCATCGAATAAATACATAAATAAATAAATAGTTTCAAATAAATATCAAGTCATTTGAAATAGGAGTGAGGGGGAGATTAATTTTGGTGGGAGATGTAGGAGCTCTTACGGGTAACAGAGCCCATCCTGTAACTGTGGGCCGTCCATATACTGTCATAATCAGAGTCCTCTGAGAGGTCAGAAGTGGCCTCGGGCCTCGAGATACTGCTACGGCGGCCCAGAGAATCCGCGCTGGACTGATCCAAAACGTGGTTGTGCATGAGATCAGTGCCTTGCCATGCTGAGGAGGCCGTCCGGTCACGGATGAGAGGGGCGTTAAATCATATGAATGAAGGGGGAAGGGAGGATTGCAAATGGAGGTGGAAGGAAATAAAATGGGGCCGACCACATAGATGAAAGAACCAATAATAACCAGATAGAATGAAGATGTTTTTCAGATAAAAATAAAAGATGCATGAAGATGTCGTAATGAAAATATGGGGAATGGGGTCATGATAAATGAACATTAAGTAATGATGAGGAAAAAAGAGAGAGGACATTGTTATAAGAAATCCAGGAAAACCTTGTTAAGATCAAGACTTCAGTTTCAAGATTTCTATGTTAACATATAGAAAAGTAGGTAAGAATGAGAAATGTTTTAGAGGAAAAGAGACGGATGTGTGTGGGGCCTTGGACAGGACTTACTTGAGTTTAGAGTTTGTCTGGTTTTGGCACTCGTGCAGTAGGCCTCGATCACTTTCAGGATTTGAGCGTCCTCCTCTAGAGCTACAGTACCTGCCCGGATCAGAGGTTACGTTAGACTCGCCATCTTTCAGAAACTAGTTACCAATGACCTTATCAAACCATCCGTCTTACTCTTCCTTAGCGCAAACTCCTCGTCAGACGGCTTCCTCTCAGGCTTTCTCTTGGGCAGCAGCTTCTTCATAGTCTTGGGGCTTTTACTGAGGTCCTAAAAGAAGAAAAGAAAGTGAAAAATCCCACAGAGGAAGGTGAAAATTAGATTTTTTTAACATAATTAGGTGCTGCTTGTCAATCAGACAACGCTTTTATGTTTGCTCCTGCTGTCAATTGTGGGAAAAATTATTGATAAAAGTGTCATAATAAACCGCTGTGAGTTTAACTCCAGGTGCTGGGTGATGCGTGTGTAAGTGAGGTAATATTAATCGTCTTCCTACAGATGTGGCAATAAGACTCGCAGCTATTGCCAATAAGCCAGTCTTTAAATCTTGAGTCCTCCAGCCAGAGGTTCGAAAACCATTTACTTCAAATTCATTTGCTCCCTTTTACAACCCCGTGGACACCCTGTGTAAATATTTCAATTTCTTCATTAACTTATGCATTAAAGACAGCTATAATTGTAAAATTACATTTCATATAAGTAAAACATATTAATTTTGCTGTTGTCTATGTGCAACTAATATTACAAAAGAGTGATTCAACAGCTTCTATTCTAAAAACCTGTGGTTTGGTAAAAGTGTCTTTATTTTATTTTCTACTTTTTCAAGCTGTTCTGAAATAAAAATGCTTATAATTTTCAGGATTTTTTTATCACCATATTACCAAAAAGTATGTAAATGCAAGAAGAAAAAAAAAAGAATTAAAATCCAAATTTTATACTTCTCAAACCAAAGTTATGCTCTTGAGCTTTTGCATTAGTGGCATCTGGTCTCAGGTGATTTATAAAAAAATTTGCTTTTTCTGAATGAACAAAACGAGCCCTGAAAATAATTATAGGATGTAATAAGGGTAAACTGATCACTTAGTGGTCACGGACATCACTCATCACTTAAATGAGGGTAAAGTGATGAGTTATTGACATTCTCATACTCTAATTTGATTTAACTTTAGAAATGTAGAAAAAGAGATCCAACTGGAAAGAAACACATTTTTTTCTGTTCATGCAGGTCATTTATTGGTTATGGAAGCCCTTTGTCAGTGGTTAAATAAACAGCTATTACAAAACCTATTAGGTTGTCGGTTAATACTTAAATCAAGCTATCATGTTAACTTTTATCAGCAGGCTGAGTGGAATCAGGATGTTTACTAACATTAAACAATAGCTTCCATATGTCAACTTTTTTAAACATAACTGAAAAATGCAAATATATACGAGAACCTTAACTGGGTTCTAAAAGCGTAGAAATTATTTAGTTAGCTTAAGAGGTGTGTAATCAGTATAAAAAATTGTGACTACTATATCAAAGCAAATGTTAGAAAGTAATAATTTTTACATTTTATAATAATATTTGCATACCTAATTTTAAATTTGTAAGTGGAAGTTATAATACCTCTTTATAACAGAGAGCAGCTGAGGGCCTGAGTGGAGGCGCTGGACGCAAGCAACTCAGGCTCCAGGGCTTCTGGGTTTTTGGGGGCTCCAGTGGACCCCACATCATGGTGCTATGAGGGGTCCCATGAGAGGAGGGGTGTGGTAGGGTGTGGTAAGCAGGAGCCACAGTTAGGCCCCGGCTTTCTCCATGTCTGGAGGGCGTCAGAGGGTGAGACGGGAGCTAGAGAAGTAAGATTTTGACAGTTAAGTGAATGATATTAGGCCACATTTTACAGTAGAATCAAACTAATGGAAGGATTAAATATATTACCCTACACTTGAAGGGGTAGTTCTCCAGAAAGTTTACTGTTAATTTTGTCCTTACAAGATGTAAAGTAGATGGGGTTTTTTTCTCCAGAACAACATTTAAGATGATTTTTAGATTGATCCATATATGCAAGTCAAAGGCTACTGGCACTTTGAGAATCAATCAATTGAATCAAATTATTATTTGTGAAGCAAAACGATCAGCGTTTGCAAAAGCTTTAAAATTGTTATAATGTTGTTAGTTATGTTATATAATGTAATGCATTTAGTATATAATCTAAATAATGTTACAACGAATCAGTTTTAGTTTATAAGACATGAATGTATAGTCAGGAGCCATGTCTATTAGTTTTAATAAGGTATTAATTTTGTTTTGACTCTAGACGAGATCTTCAGTTTCAGCTAAAAATCTTGTATAATGCTGTAATGAAGAACAAAGTCCCCTACATCTTGGATAATATCAGCTTATTTCCAATTATGGGTGAACTATTCCTTTAATATTGTGTAAATCTCTTTGTATCTGTTTTACAAATATGAACAGTTGTTTTACTTTATGAACAGCAGAAATAGACAAAACAAATAATACAATTGTAAATGTGTCAGATCTGTACTATTTATATTTACAATCTTTATATACTATGCATCTATGTGTCTCAGATGCTATGTTAACTGGCCGACTCACTGTGTGGCAGGGGACAGTGAGGGGTTTCATGCTGGGTGCCGCCATGGTGGTGTGTTTGGTCTGTCGATTCAGATGCTCGAGCCAGTCGTGCAAATCCTGCTTGTTATAGCAGATCACCTGAAGCCTCTCAAACATGCTTCCTATTGGAGGAAAAGGTACAAGCACAGTCAATGAAAGACCACGAATGATCAAAAACACTTGATTGTGTAAAAAAAAATATGAGTCAGCGTGTTCTCACCCGAGAGCTCAAAAGCATTTTTATGACTCTCACAGTCTTCTAATGGGGTCACAGTCATCCCACTCAAAGGTAGCTTGCCCTGAGAAAAACAAAGCAGACGTTTCTCTTTGTGCTGGAGGCACAAGTGCCTTTTCACATGCGTGTTGAAAGTCTGTAGTTTGAGTGGATTTTAGAGGGTGGTGGAGTGGGACATTGAGATTTATTTGGCTGTGTAGTAATCAGTTCTGACAGCAGCTGCTTTCTGACCTGGTAGATGAAGCCACTCATCCTTGGACTGGCGGACAGGATGAGCAAAACATGAGGAAATAGCAAAAGGTAACGCTCATTCTTCTCCTGGAAAAAAAAATCATAGTTTTATGTATATCGATAGAACACAGTGACAGTAACTGGAAATTAGGACTGAAGGGACTGAAAAATTGACAATTATCTGAAATATGGTCTTTTAATTTTTGGCTTTAAAGGGCACCTATTTTACCCCTTTTTCAAGATTTAAGGTAAGTCTTTTGTGTCTCCTGTAGCTGTTTTTGTTGCCTGTGCCTTTAATGCTAGTTCTTCCCGCCCACTGTTCCCACATGCCTGTCAGTGTGTGCCTCAATCTCCACCTCGACTGCGTCAGATAAACAGCACAGTGACAGACATGACGGAAGCAGATATCACTTAACATTTGTGAGAAATACTACAGTAAAAAAAAACTTTCCCAATGATTATTTGATGTATTTGTTGTGGAGTTGCAAAGATGAGGCACACAGAATGTCGTTACAAAGTTCACCCACGCACACACAGACACACACACACACACAGCGGACACTCACACACATCGCGTGTTTACTTTTTTTTCACAGCAATTGTGACAGGATACATGTTAATATCCACTGCTGTATGGATATCCATAATGTTAATGTACAAAATAAACCCGACAATGTAAACAAACTGGGAATGAAGTGTCTTTTATAGTTGTACTGACATGCAGCTGTGGTGTTAAAGACAGTAAAATCACTTTAATTCAATACAAACAAGCACTGTTAAAACTCATTCTTGATCACATTTGATGATGACTGATGATTACAGAGAGCTGAACAGATCTTTTATTCCTGGTTGCTTTGTGCACATCCTGTCTTGTTGATATAATTATACACGTTACTACCGAGACGTGTTAATACGCCGCTGTCAATTAATTCGCTGGGCGTGGAATCTGCACTCCTACGTCACGTTTCGGTCGGGCTCAAAATGGGAGGGATTTGAGTCCTTTGGATTTTAACATCAGGAAATGATGAAAAAAAAAACTTAATGTCTTTGTATTACTCCAATATGACTGTGAACACAGTAGACCTACACACAGTTCTGTCCCAACAGCTTACAAAAGACGATTTTCATCATAGGTGCCCTCTAAAAATAACTTTATGATACTTTAGGGTTTTGCTCTGTAATGAAAATTAGACATACTCCTGTAAAAACCTGAATTTTGAAGCTCATGTGTGCATTTTATAAAACATTTGTAATAATAAAAATAATAATACAATTTTAATAAAAAGTAACAATAATTTAAACTTTTGAAAGAAGTGGATATAAACATCTGGGGTGCAAGTCTGTATTATTACCAGACAGTATTTTTCTCATAAATTGAAAAAAAAAAACACATTATAAGACCCCATGTGTAAATCTCGAAGGCACCCACAGCAAATTATTCTTTCAGGTTTTAACGTCATCCTTGCACCACTCTATTCAGATAACTAAAATGAAGTCAAATTTGCAGCAAGCATACATAACAAATTGTTCATAATCTGATATAAGCCCTCCATTTAGTGTAAAACAATGAATTTCATGCTGACTTTATTGTCTGATTTTGGTCAAATAAGTAGATATGGTGCTGTCCCACCTCACAGCCGTGGTTCTGTACCATGGCCTGACTCATATACAGTACTGAACCCAATGTCTTGATGTCCTCGCCCTCCCAGAGGCGAATGGTCTCTGCCAGGATCTGAAGCTCCAGCTCCTTGCGTTTCCGCACCTCCTGACATTGTGCCTGTAAACCACAGTAAGACGATGCTTTACAAAGGCTAGCTTCCATAGATAAGCGTATACCAACCTCTAGCAGCAAAACCAGGACACCAGTCTGCTTTAGATAACTAGGCACAGTTGACACTCACAGAGAGATTCTTGAAGGCGGTCATACATTTCTGAATTTCTGTCCTGTCTGGATGACCCTCCTGAAAGAAGACATAGATACAGTGAAAAGCTGTTAATCTTTAAAGCTCCACAAAGACACACACTCTCTCTCTTCTACCTCCATGTGTCTCTCCAGCTCCTTCAGTAACGTGGGATATCTGTCCAGCCTCATAAAGGGTTTGCTGAGGCCCGAGGTCAGTGTGAGAATACCAGGTACAGATGCACCCCTGGCCTCCATGAACTCCCCAAGTTCTTCACTGTGGGGACAAAATTGAGACGTTAACCCTTATTACACCAGAAGAGGGTCTGTGTGTGGAAATCAGAGCACAGTAGGGTGGCATACCTGTGAACGGTAAGAACATTGACTGTCGATGGATGGTTGGAGCAGTAAGACACATTAAGAGACCTCATCTGAGGCATGAGGTTGAGAAAGAAGCCTCCCACCTTCTGCTGCAGCTCTGGAAGCCTGAATCACACAACATTGAGGAGAATCAGAACAAATACTACTACATTCTTCTTGAGTTCAGGTTTTATTCTAGGGCTGAACAATATTGGAAAAATTTGACATTGCAATATTTATTTCCCTGCAATATATATTGTGATATAAATACAAGTTCAACAGATGACTTAAATACAGGGTATATACAGTAATCAGAGATTGAAATTCAATACCTTTTAAGACCTTTTTTAGGAGTCTTTGCACACATTTTAAGACCTCATCACCACTTCCGGTTTCAACCAGTAACATTGCTGACATTTTAACTAGCAGTATATTTACTAAATATTGATTGCAAGAAACGAATCCTAAACTGAAACTGTATTTATATACTGAATAAAATGTTAATCCAGCAGGTGACACCATTACAGCAGCAGGAATAACAGTGTTTCCCTGGTTACTGCAGTAAACAAAGCAGCGGTGTCAAATCCAGGAAAGCAGAATCACAGCATCCCAACATTCAAAGATTAAATCCGGGTAAACTTTAACATACTGATACTGAATTTAACACCTTGTAAAATAACATGACATTTTAATACTTTTTAAGGGCCTTAAATTTCTCTAAATTGATTTCATTCATTCATTCATTTTCTTGTCGGCTTAGTCCCTTTACTAATCCGGGGTCGCCACAGCGGAATGAACCGCCAACTTATCCAGCAAGTTTTTACGCAGAGGATGCCCTTCCAGTCGCAACCCATCTCTGGGAAACATCCACACACACGTTCACACACACACACACTCATACACTACGGACAATTTAGCCTACCCAATTCACCTGTACCGCATGTTTTAAACTGTGGGAGAAACCAGAGCAACCGGAGGAAACCCATGCGAACACAGGGAGAACATGCAAACTCCGCACAGAAACGGCAACTGAGCTGAGGCTCGAACCAGCGACCCAGCGACCTTCTTGCTGTGAGGCGACAGCACTACCTACTGCGCCACTGCTTTGCCCTCTAAATTGATTCATAAATTTTTAAGACTTTTTAAGACCCTGCGGACAACCTGAAATAGCTCTATTAGCAAAGTCGTTGCTTTAGATGGATTGGGATGATTTTGTAGGGGTGAGAAATATAAATATTTTGTAATCTTTTCATACATATGATAAACAAACTACAGTCATAAATAAACACAGTGGAGCAAATATTTAAGTGAAATAAACCATGCTTTATGGTTTTCTGTAGAGTAACAGAAGTTGAATAATCAATTGTAAAATAACATTGCATAGTCTACAATATATTGTGCAGCCTTAGTTTCATCCTTAAACAGTTTAAACCAACAGGCTCAATTTAAAACTTATTTTGCAGTTAATTTTAATTATTTTATTTCTAAAAATTCAGCAAAGATCCATCAAGCAATAAAGCAAGAAATAAAAAGTGACAGAAAAATTTCTATTTTATCCAATTTCTTTTTCTTATTATTCTTGTGTTGAAAACTTACCACTAGAGGTCAGTTTAAACATAAGAAACATCCAGTGATACTCAACTTTAATGGACCTCAGGTTTATGTTACTGCCCAGGTCTATTTTCATCATCTAGAAGTCGAAACTTGATACATTTGATTGAGTCTCAGTTTCACTAAGTGCTCCTGTTGTAAATTACTCGAGATCAGAGCCAGGAATCACACAGCAGGCTCAGGGTTAGAATGAAACTCACTTGGTGAGATCCTCCAGTGACTGGACCAGAGTCTGCTGGAAAGTGCTGATCTCCTCCAGGTTCCCGAGAATGACACTAACATCTGCAGGGCTCAGTCTAACAGAAACAATGACAACTGTTAAAAAAAAGGCAGTTCATCCAACAATTTAAACTCCACTTGTTTAAAACCTATTTGAGTCTCTTTCTTCTGTTAAACATAAAATATTATATTTTAAAGGATACTGTAAACTCGTAGCCATCCACTTATAGTATTTTTTTTCCTACCATGGAATTCAATTTCTACCGGTTTGCAGCATTCTTTAAAATCAAAATATCTTCTTGTGAGTTCAAGAGAAAGAACTAAAATAAGAAAAAGAAAGATTTTGAACCATTGGGGATCAGTAAATGTTCATTTGAGGGTGATTAAATTAACTTCTTCCGTACAACATTGAATAACAGCAAATTGTAATTTTTTGATGAACTAATCCCAATAAGACTGTACGTTACATATTCCATTGATTAGTAAACGTGAGGGGATAAGTAAACTTCACATTTAATCATTTTTTGTATAATCATACTAAATGAACAGCACTATGCAGAAAAAATAATGTAATTGTAATAAGAAATTACATTTTCACTACCTTAACGGTGCTATATGGAGAAATATTTGTATACTGACCACTTTTATTTGAAAATGTATAATCATCTTTAAAATAAAATAATATAAAATAAAAAAACAACACATTTCTGACATCCTAGGTTGTCTACGGAAACATGCATGCATATAAGGCTATTTTCAGGGCAACAACATTTCAATAAATATACAATTAAAACAACTAAAAATCATTTTATTTATGAATTCATTTGTTTGTGTTAATACATAATAACAATTCTACAATTTTGCCTGATGTCACTTTGTTAAAAATGTTGGTAACACTTTATTTTGATGATCCATTTGAGTATTAGAAGACTGTCTGCTTAATATCTGTATAATCTGTATTTATCTGTAATAAAAAATTTGCATGTACATGTCAACTTACACTAACCCCAACCTAACAGTCCACTTATAACCTACTGGGAATTAGTTGGCAATTCAAAAAACAGACCATCAAAATAAAGTGTGACCAAAATATTCTTAAGAGAGTTCATTTCAAAGACTTCTGGAACCATTAAAAGCAGGACAGTCCAGTAAAATGTGTTTCAATGTAAGGGGAGTTAAGCAGTACAAACATTGAGTGGGGTCTTCATCTTTAAGCAAAAAGGCATGGGTTAATCTTGTATGTCCAATACGACATCTGGTAAAAATCCCTTGATCAAATCTTAACTCCATTTGAGATTTCAGGTTTGATTTTATACAATTTATTATTTTCCAATGCATCCCACCTCCTCTTACCACTCGTTTAAAATGTAAACTTTGATAAAAGGTCTCATCTCTGAAGGAATTTGGCATTTGTTCACCACTAGTTTCAAAGCATCAGCAGCTGCATCAGCTGTCTATGAAAGCAAGAAAAAATCCCTAATAATTAAATAAAACTTCTGGTGACGCTAAAACCAAATGATTTTGGAATCTGCACTCCCTTTAAAATTTTATAAACCTTTATGAGTTTTTTTGTCTGTTGAACACAATAGGAGATATTCTGAAAAAAGCTGGAAACCTTTAACCATTCACTTCCATAGTAGGAAAAACAAATACTACAGAAGTAAATGGTTGCCGGTTCCCAACATTATACAAAATTTTTGAGTGAACTACCCCTTTAGTTCTGAAGTTGGTTAGATTTTTGGGAGATATTGGAAATGAATGAATTGTACCACTTTAGTTGATTTAACAGTTCACACAATTTACTACTGGCTTATTACCTACCTGTTATTAAGACACTAACTGTTTATTAGCACTTATAAAGTGTGAGTAGTGAAATTTTAGTAGTGAAATTTGTGCAGAAAACACAAGGCATGTTACCTTTCTGTCATCTGTAGAGGTCTCAGATAGCTGGTCAAAAGGTTCTGGAGTTCCCTTGAATACTCTGTTTCAGTTTCTAATATGTTCTGTAGCACCTGAAAAACAAACAAGCAGCAGCTATTTTTACACAAGACACCTCTAAAATAATGATTACAAATCAGCTGTGCTCATTCACAAATCAACAGTGTCTGATTACATTTATGCGCACAACCTTCCAAATGAAGCAAATCAGCATGACAACACTTGAAAAAGACACTAAACTCAAGTGTGCTTACCAGGTTGTAGTAGGTTTTACTGATGGATGCGGTATCAAAACCTTTGGGAGGGCTTTTAAGATTTCCAGATTTTGGGGACACCTGTTTGTCTGTGTGGAGTGTTTTAGGAAATGGAGAGATTTAATAAAAGGATCAAATGTAAAGACTGTTTATCTGTTTTATAACTGACACGTACCAGACCCTTTGACCTCTTTGACATAATTGCTCGGAAACCAGCCCGTCTTGCCGTTGAGGATTCCTTCCCACCAACCCCCTTCTTCTGTGCGAGTGACACTGATGAGGTCGCCTTTGCTGAAAGTAAGCTCATCCTCATTGGTCTGCTGGAAGTTGAAGCGAGCTTTAACCACTAACTGAGCGTTACTGTTGTCCGTCATGTCCTATAAAAGAGGAACAACTCATGTTTCATGCAGCCTCACAGTGCGTTAACAAGTCAGAATATTAAAAGTGACCCACTTGCATTAATTAGTGTACACACAAGATGCTGCTTCTGACAACCAGTTAGAAAAGGATATGTTTGCCTTTGTATAAAAAGAAAATATGCCAACATAGCAATTGAACACTGCAATTTTCCAACATTTTTTACTTGGATTTTATTGAAATGTTTCAGAAATATTTAATTGCTATGGTAACACAAAATGTCACCCTTGACATGCAATGTAACTTCAAATGCTATTCAAAGTTCTGGAGTTGGTTAGATTTTTGGGAGATATTGGAAATAAATGAATTGTACCACTTTAGTTGAATTAACAGTTCCCACAATTTACTACTGGCTTATTACCTACCTATTATTAAGATACTAACTGTTTATTAGCACTTATAAAGTAAGTACCTACCCAATACCTAAGCCTAACTACTACCTTACTAACTATTAAAGGGTCACGAAACACCAAAACGCATTTTTAAAGATGTTGAGGGTCATATACATGTCCCATGTTGCAAAAAACACCATTACAACACAAAAATTTAGGGAGTTTAAATTTTTGCCTTGTTTTGAGCAAATTCGTTCTTCCGGTTTAAAAAAATTTTGAAGCAAGGTCCTGCAGATGAGATCATTGTAAGCCAGCGTGGAGATTTGCGGTCTGTACTGGCCGGTACAAAGTGACATCATTGAGTTTTCAGCACATCTGTTCATTAACTCATGAGAAAGACAAATGGACCAATCAGCACGCTCTATTGTGAACAAGATGCAACTTCATTAATATGCATGATATAGCTTTGAAGACTCCTTTTACCTGTTGCAGTGTTCAGAGAGACGCCACGTTGTTTTGCTAACCGTGATTCAAACAAGTAGAAAATTAAGAATTTTTCAAAGACATTGGTCGTCAGCTTTGCGTTTATAAATGTGCCGCAACAAAGATTTTCTTTCCATTTCCCATGATGAAAACACAGCTCACAAGTGGATCCAAGTAGTTGGATTACAGTGGTCTGCTAAAACAGGGATTCCCAAACTTTTTTATTCCAGGACCCACCTCGGCAAGTAATTCAATCTCAAGACCCACCATAATATTTTAATATGGAAAAATGGATAAAAAAAATTTATCCATTCAAAGCAGTCAAAAATATATGATTTGTGGCTTTTTGGATTTTGCGATTTGATTTGCACAAAATGAGGCTCGAAGTGCTTTTTGTGGGATGCTGGCTGTGGGAAAAACGTCGTATAAATATGTCAATGCTATTAACGTTATTGCTGAATAGATCTAATATTTACACATTTGCTTGAGGAAGAAATGATGGGGTAGTTACATTACTAATACTGTTTTCGATAAAATATATGCCCTTCCATATCCTTAGGTGACGTTAAAACTAACAGATAGCACTATAGCTATTTATTGATTAGCAATCTGTCAATGTTGGGATGTAAAAAATATGGGACAACAAACAGCTTCAAATGATAGAATACATAGCAAACATTAGAAAATATCGACAATAAAATAAAAGGTTTAGCCTATTAAAATCAATGGCCTATCCAGAAATTAAATAAAGCTATAAAAACTCTTTTACTTTACTCTTCTCACTTTTAACTGTATTTGCATATTGATTAAAGTTACTATAGTTATTTAATGAAGAGCAGCAAATTAATCATTGTGTTTTGTTTGATTACAGAGGTGTTAATGTAAGAATGCACAGATCTATAATGAGGCATTCGACTACTTTAGTAACTGTTGTGCTCATTTAAGAGAAAATTAGTAGCGTTTAAAATAAAACACGCAGGACGGAGCAAAGAAAAAAAAAATGGAAAAAAGAAGCACTTTTCCCACGGTCCCTTACTGAGAGCTCCGCACTGTGCGAGCTCTCCCGGCTTAACACAGATTGCAAGAGCTCTAAAACATGAAAAATATGCTTGTAAGGAACATTTTTTACCCGAGAGCTTTTTCGAATCTGAAAATGGTGAAATTCGGTTTTGCCACTCGTCTAATTAAAAAAAAAAAAAAAAGACGTGGTTCTAGTTGGTGTTGATGGTTCTGTCTTTACAGATTTGGTAAGTGTGTGATCAATGTTCTTTGTTTATGTTTATGTTTATTCAGCTGGCAAAGTTAGTTGATATCGTCAGCAATACTCTTTTAATTTTTAAAGACATACTTTAGTCAAAATGATTTAGTTATTAAGTTTACAGAAATATCACTACAATATTATGGACTGAAAATCCTCCACTTGCACACAGCTCTCAGATCTGCTGTAAATGCTGCTCTCAGAATCACTGTCTATCTCCCCTGCTTCTGTATTTGTGTTGCCGGTGTGAGAATCACCTATAGTGCACGTAATAAAACTCCCTTTTTCATGCAAACCCTTTTATCTTACGCCACTCCCACCTCAACAAAGCTGGAGTCACTTTCCTCAAACTAGAGCTGTGAAAACACTGTGCTGAGACAGGAGGGTTTCGTGGCCCTTTAATAAGCAGCTAATTAATAGTTTAGCGAGTCTAAAGTCTTAGTTAATGGTTTGCTAATAGTGTGAATTGTACATTCAAAAAATAAAGTGTAACCAAATTAATACATTTATTCTGCAAGGATTCATTTCAATTATTAAGTGTGTAATAATTAAATTTCAAACAAAAAATACTGAAAAAAAGAGAAAATGAATGAAAGTTTCTTGAGCACCCATACATCAAATAGAATGAATTGTAAATAATAATGTGATGATGAGGACTGGAGTAGAGGCTGCTAAACTGTACAAAACGTTTTATAAAACCAGCTTATTTTTGACCAAATAAATTTAGCTTTGAAGACCAAAGTTTTTTTTGGTTTTGTTATTTATTAGAAAATCTTATTGCCACCAAGCTGGAATTATAGTTTTCATTTTATATGCATAGCAAAACAAATCGTTTTGACCAAGATCTTCTGATGTTGGTCTAGCAGTCTCACCCCAATGTTACTCACAAGGCTGCGAAACTGGTTATGGAGCAATTTAGAAGATCGGCCCAGTGAAGACTGGGAGGCCAGCGATTCAAAGGACTTGATCCGGTGGGCGGAAGAGTGACGCGTACATACAGAGTCGCTGCCAATGCCAATATCTACACAGAGAATAAATACAAACACAAGCTATCAGGAAAAAAAGAGCACATTTGGACATACATTTAAGAACATTTAAGCAGGTCAAAAACTGTGGATTTGGAATTTGAATATCTAAATGGGAGAAAGACACACTTACCTGCAGTTACTTTATTGAGGGCAACCAGTGTAGTGAGGACTCTGCTGATGTTGTGACCCTGAAGCAGGTCACCAGCCTCAAATGGCTACCGAGAGAGAAAAACATTATATAACATCATTAATCTAGACCACCTAAATGTCTGTTAAAGCTGTGAGAGCATCATATAGCCTATTTCAAGCACATTAAGCTTAAGGGAAATTACTCTAGCTGTGCTGCATAAATCTTAAGAGCTTAACATGAGAAGCTAGTTTCAGTGTATCTTAGTTAAAAAATTATATTACATTTATAAATTTACATAAAATAACATTTTTCAGACTTTTGACAATTTCAAAGAAAACAGAAATCCTAATTTCAACTAAACAACTTCATGAACTAAAGCATAAATCATATTTTATCATTTTAATTTATATGCATAAAAACAAAACATACATAAACTGTAATACTGATTTTACCCATGCATATTTAAAAAAAAAATGATTTACATTAGATTACATTATTTAGGGGATAGGAAAAGGTTCACGAGGCGGGACTCAATCTCAGGACACCTGCAATATATGTCGGTGCTCTACTAACCACTAATAATAAAAATTTCTTGCTTTTATATAGCACTTTTCTGGTCACTCAAATCGTTTTACAAATTTGGGGGGGGGGTCTCCTCATCCACCAACAGTGTGCAGCATCCACCTGAATGACATGACGGCAACCATACTGTGCCAGACTGCGCATCACACACCAGCTGATTGGCGTAGAGGAGACAGAATTATGAAGCCAATTATTATATGGGGATGGCTAGGAGGCTATGATGGACAGAGGCCAGTGAGCAAAATTTGGCCAGGATGCCGAGGTAAAACCCCTACTCTTTTTCAAAGGAAATCCTGGGATTTTTAACGCCCACAGAGAGTCAGGACCTCGGTTTAACATCTCATCCGAAAGACAGCACTCACCGAGTAGTATATAGTTTCCATCAATATACTGGGGCATTATGACCCTCACAGACCACAGGTTGAGTGCCCCCTAATGGTGTCACTAACACTACTTCCAGCAGCAACATACACTGTAAAAAGTGAAAACTTAAACTAATCACTTTGACTTGTTACAATTAAATGAATTAAGTTAGACAAACGTAACGTATGACAGTTTACAGTAATAAATGAAGTTAGTTCTTTTAGGTGTAACATGTTTTAGTAATTTATTTAAGAAAACAAGAATGGAAAAGTACATAGAGTACAATTCAAATAATTTAATTTGGTAATATAATAATAATAATAGTAACAATACTTTTATTACAGTACAAATAGTCCCCTTCCCATGTTAATATAAAAATAATACTTTTATTTTTTGTGGCAAATACAAGTATTGCTCATTACTGATATTAAACAATAGTTATACTTGCCATAAATAAATTATTAAAACCTTTTATACCTAAAAAAAACTAACTAACAAATAATAAAATAATTAATTAAATAAATAATAAATAATATATAAATAAATTAAGTTTGTCTAACTTAATTCATTTAATTGTAACAAGTCAAAGTAATTTGTTTAACTTTTCACTTTTTACAGTGTAGCTTTCCCATGAGGTCTCCCATCCAGGTTCTGACCAGAGGCAGCCCTGCTTAGCTTCAGTAGGCGAGAGTGTGAGTTGCAAAGAGGCCTACAAGGCTATCGGCTTTCTCAATAAATTGATTTGAACTTTCTTAAATTTAAATTCCATGTGAAAATAAAGTAGTATGTTGATGTACTTCCAACAGAAATTTAATACAGTGGTCCCTCATTAATCGGGGAGTTACGTTCTAAAAATAACCCACAAGAGGCGAAATCCACAAAGTCTTCAGCTTCAAGGAGCAAGTTTCAGCTTTATTTTTTAATTCTAATAGATGTTTTTAGGCAGAAAAAATGAATGTAACGAACCGAACATTCATTTATTCCATAATTATGGCGCCTCACTAGCATGTCCAGAAGTCCAACTTTTTGTGTGATGGTTAACTTCTTCCTTTGCTTTTTGGATGCTACCGCAGGTGCTTTTGAGGGTGCAGAACATTTCATAGACATTGTGGGGTTTGTTTGGGGAGAAAACTTGCAAACATACAGTACAGCACTTTAGAGTCACACTGCTAGCGATTGAAGATTTATGTAAATTTGGCAAGCTGAACACATTATGTACTGTACAGGAGACACAGGAGCATGGAGGAGACTGATTGACAATGGTCTACAGCCAATCAGGCCGCAGAACACATCGCACTGTAAAAAAAATAAATAAAAATCAGCAGAACTGCAAAGGTGAACCACGTTATAGCGAGGGCCCACTGTATTGAGTAAGTGGTGAGCTTTTCTTTTGCGTATCATTCACTCATACCAAATTAATGGTATGAGGGGCATGGTTAAGAATATTGTGGTTAAAGCCATCAAACTGACGTCAACAGAGAAAGTTCGCCATCTCAAAAGTAGAGACAAATTGTCAGACTTTAAAAACTACCAAAACAAAAAAAAATCAGTGGGTTAGCTTGCACAGATTAACTTTTCACCTAAAAAAATTAACATTGTGAATATTAATTTCACACAGACTCTCATGTACTGTAATATTGTGATATTCAAAACTTTGCTTTTTGCCAGCAACATTTTTATCAAATATTCACGGCATAGTCATGGTAGTCTAGCCTATGTATATACAATGAAGCGGGCCACGTTCGGCATCTGTGGAGACAATCATCCGTCATCGCTGCGTGTGCCGCTTGGCCTCCGAGCAGGTGGTGTGGTTAGCCAGAGGTCACTGATGTCTCTTTGCTCATCGAGTGAGAAATCTGATTTGTTCAGCTCTAGATTGTCTGTCCCTTGCTGTTCTTTGGGAGTTTTTGAACTGTTTGACTGACAGTTATGTGTTCCTCTGTGAATAGTCAGAGGCTGTGTACAATTCCAGCTTCCGCTTTACCTTCCGCTCTGATTACATTTTATACCCTGAGAGAAGCAAAAACAAGAGTGTGTGGATGTGTATAAGTGGACAATGCATCATCTTGAGCTTTTTGCTTTACAAAGTGATGCTGCTCCTTCAGTGATTTACTGCATGACTGTAGGAATACGTCTATTTGGAAACGTTGGCCTACTTCTACAGCTTAGCTTACATAGAAGAATATCAGTCATCGATTTTATGATGGCCATTCTTCAATGTGGTTCCACAACCATAGATGCACTAAAAATGTGCGTTTCAGAATTCAATTAAATGGCTTTAGCACACCTGAACCACAATAAAAAAATGATTTAGGTTAGGGATGCTCCGATCAGGATATTTCCAGCAGATACTGAGTACCAATTTCCTGTCATGGTGATCAGCTGATACAGAGTACCAATTCTGATGCTTGAAGCATTATATAACTTTGCCACTGCATAAGCACATTTTCAATGAAATTATGAGATATTGCCTTACCTAACAGAATAATTTAAGGATGTTGCATACATGTTATGGTCGGAAGCAGCTTTACAAAAATAATAGATAAAACAGATAGAAAAACAATGGTAAGAAAAATTACTAACAATGCAATTTGGAAACATTGCACATGTGCCGTAGCGCTCCTGATGTATAAACTGGGTGTACACGTACATCTTCCTCTGCTTCTAAACTCGCAAATAACAATTGCGATCGGTTTACGAGATTTGCCAGATCAGCAAGTACTGTTTGAGTTGTGACGTGATTATCGGCTGATACCGATCTCTAGCCGATCGATCATGACACTTTTCCAAGTTTGGTGATTTAAAAAAAAAAAAAAACTTTTATTCAGAAAGTTTCTATTAAATTGTTAAAAAAGACATACTTAGAGTTGCAAAATATTCCCATTTCAAACAGAATCTTCTATTTGAACTTTCCATTCATCAATGAGACCTGAGAAAACTAAAAGTTAAGAGAATATTTATTTATTTATTTATTGCTTGATTTGTCTATTGAAGCATTTACAAGTCTAATATTGAACCTCAGAATCTTCTTGCACACAAATCGGAGCTTCCTCAATCTTATCAATATGTTTAATAATCAAGATTTTAAATTGAGATGATAACAAATAAGATAATGTGTGCTCAAACTTTACCGTCAACGAAGTAAAGAGTTGTGGAGAAATCCTGTCAGTTTTAATAAATAAATAAATCACATTTTTAAAAACCTTAAGTCTTTCATTAGCCCCATTTATACTTATAGCAGTGTGTGTGTGTGTGTGTGTGTGTGTGTGTGTGTGTGTGTGTAGGGGTAAAAACACAAGAAAGAGAGGATTGTTTGACTGTGCAAAACATCATAGCATACTACCAGTTTAGTTCTTATATGATATTCTCAATGAAGAACTAATCATTCTTCATGTTGACCCCGTCTAACCAACCACTTTATCAACCACGATAAACTAAGCATTTCTGTTATTTTTCACTTGTTTCTGTGATCATGTGATGCAATAATACAATATTAATAATCGCATCCGCAATAGTCACATCACAAAAATATGAAATGTCCAGTCTAAATTATAGTTGACCAGGAGCTACAGAATTGTATTTAATCACTGTATTTACATAAAATTTATATGATTTATGCAAAAAAAATCTTATTTCATCTGACGGTGAAAACAAAACAATATTTTTTCTTGCTTTAAGAATTTTTTGATATTTGGACTGGAAACAAGAAAAAAAACTAAGCAAAAAAAAAATTTCTCTATAGTGGTTATTCAATTTCTGTATCTGAATACTGTTTATACTCCCAAGAAGACTATTAAATAGTGCTATTCAAACTGTATTCATATCACAATATTTATTGCCGAAAAATAAAATATCGCAAATATCAGATTTTTTTCAATATCGTGCACATGTGCACAATATCGTGCCCTAGTCCACATGCTTAAGATTTTAGGGGAATTAAAGATTCTATACTGTGATCCCACTGAGAATGAAATCAAACATTAATTCCAGTGGGAGTTACGTGATGCAGTAAAATGCACAGTCAGACTGCAGATCTGAAAATGTCATGATGCAGTTAGGCTTGAGATCACATCATCACAGCTGAACAGACTCAGAGCTTCATGGAGGAGCTTCAGACGAGACTGTGCATAAGGCAGAGCGAACTGAACACTGAGCAGATTAGTCAAAATCCTGTAAACCACAAATTTAGAGCCATGCAGAGGATAAGCTTCAGAGTCTCACTTTAACTTACAAAAAAAGCATGAAACAAACTCCAGACAATTAGAAAAGGCTTGTTTCAATCAGGTCCAGCTGTATTACATAATCTGTATGTGATGTAAATGGAGGAGATGAGGGCCGTCATCCTGGAATCTGCACACATAACATTGGCTGGAGGTGGCAGATACTCCTGAGGCGGTCAACAATCAAATGCCCTTGCACGTTATCTGCTGTAATGCTTGACACACAAAACTACAAATGTGTGTTTACTATCTGCTCATTTCTCTGTGAAAATACATAGCACTTCTGACTGTGATTCTGCTGGTGATGAACCCCAATGGAGCCTTGAGCACTGCCAGGTCAAACAAACACCTTTTAACAGGTCAAAGAGAAGCAAATTGCTGTGACAGAGGTGTAACAACAAACAAAACGCTAAAATGCTCAAATTAGATAACTCGATGAGGCACAAAGTGTAAATTAAAAATAAAGTACAGTACAAATAAACCAAAACTGTGAGGATCTATACACGTATGAACCCTGAGATGAATTCATTAACAGATTTTCTGGCAGAACAATGCACCTAGATCTCACTGCAAAAGCAAGATTTACACACTATAGCACACAGCATTAATCTCATGGATGGCATCCAGTGAACTTGAGAAAAGGGCATCTTTCCTGAAGATATTGTCAGAATGGGTTCAGATAGTGCTTTTGACATTATGCGGCTTCCAAGAGCTCCATATGTGACGTGGGCCTCAACCTCAGCACATCTAGATACACTTGACAATACATTAGAGCTACCCTGAACCATCTGTTCCCTAATAAATGCGCATAGATCAAAATCCCACTAGCCCTTTGTATGTCTATCTGTGCACATTTGTGTCCAAACTAGCATGTTCATAACAATGATCAGACATTTTAAACTTTCCGTTTTTTTTTCATATATTTTAAATTAACATGATAATATAATCTATACTAAACACTAATATAATAATAGAATTAGAATTATCCTACAACAGCACTGACAAATAAAACACAATCATTTAATTTTGCAAATGATTGCCCGTGATTGGAAAGAGACAACTTGAGAAGTCTCTTGGGATTAATGGTTAAGTGTTGGGCAAAATTTTGCATTAATGGCATTAAAGTCAAGTGTTTGGGCAAAATTTTATTTTTGTTTTAGTCTTTAAACTAGTGATATTTCTTTATAATTTAATATAAAAATTGTCATGTAAAGGGATTTTTGCATAAAATAACAAAGAAGGTGCCATGTTTTGAGACTTTGTTTTTATCCATACCCATACGTTTATACATATCCATACTACACAATAGTGCATTTAAATAATGTTTTAACTTGGGATATATATATATATATATATATATATATATATATATATTAGGGTTGTAACAATATACCGGTATGACGGTTTACCACGATTTGAACGTGCACGATTATCATACCATGAACAATTGCATATCAACGGTTTTAACCCTAAAGACAGAGACAGCCGCCCGCGGCTAAAAATAAGTATTGCTCTTAAATGTTTAATAACTTTTGATCCGCTGATCCGATTCATACAATTCAAAGATTGGCATAAAGAAGAGAATCTCTGCTTTCCAGTGCTGTATCACATAACATTTCGGACTTTCAGAGGCTCCGGAATCAGTGCGGTTACGTCATCAACATTTGACAACGCTGATTTGACAAAGAAACGCTCGTCACTGTGTCTCCGGACAAATCAGACATGATACATTGATGCATTGTCCCTCCTCCATGCCCAGATTGGTTCAAACTCGCTATATCACAACCAATAAGCATAGGTTTCGCTTTTGTTTGTGGACCAAGCTTTTTGAACAACACAGAATGAGAGATAGGCTGTACATTTATGCTCGGCTAAATAAAACGCAAAAAAAAAAAAGTTTTGCATGAAATAATTCTCATACTAAGTACTTTTGCATGCACAGCAGCACAGAAACATGACAAAACAGTGACACAGCAAAGACGAACTGCTGCTCTTGCTGTTTTCAAAAGACACAAATGAAGATGCAGCTGTTTGTCTGCATTGCAGACAACCATATCCAAATCCATATCCACAGACAACCATATCCATGCTGGCACATAAAACCTAAGGATGTTCCATATTGAATCTAGTTTCGTTATGTAACTATTTATAGTATAGTAAATATTTATATCTATTTTTTACTGAGGATTTGCACCATGTTTATTTGGACTTTATTTGGACTTTGACACATTATTTATTATTTTCTTATTTTTATTTGTTCATTGTAAGTGGTTTTGTTTATAGTAACTAAAAATATATTATTTGGAAAAAGTCAAATTTGCTTCACTGTTCTATTATTTTGTAACATTTGTAACATACCGTATACCGCGAAACCGTCAAACCGTGGTATTGTTTTAGACGATTATCATACCGTGAAAAATTCATACCGTTACAACCCTAATATATATATATATATATATATATATATATATATATATATATATATATATATATATATATATATATATATATATATCAGCAGCAATATCATTGATCATTTGCAATGTCACATCGCAAGTACACACAATGCGGAATTTTGATTATAATTTACCATTGACAATGTGTGAGGGCTTTAAATACATTCAGACATACAATTCTACTGTTTGTAACTGATAAACTAAAAACGATTTATTTTATTGAAATAATAATGAATTGCTTAAAAAGCAATTGCTATAAATGATGAAAAATAACTATAAACATTTAGGCTACAATTTAAAAAAAAGATTAACCAATAAATACTTCAAATGAAAAATAAGATTAAATTGTGTTTTTACCAGAGGGATACATTACATGTCGTATCAAGATAACTTCTGAATCTATAATAATAGACAAAATATTTTGTAGAAAGACAAGTAAAATATTATCTTTTTAACAGTGTACGCAAATTAAATTACAGTACAAGTAAAAATGTCATTTAACAGACAAATTGTGTACAGTTTTTCTATTTTTGTCTCACCATGTAGGGCTTAAAACTAAACACATTACATACACTATAGCTATATCTGATTTTAGATTTTTAGAGGAAATGTAAGTACTTGGTATTAAAATGAAAGTTTAAAACGTTTCATAAAAGTCACTTTTGTTTAACTTAACCAAGCAGAAAACAAAGCCAACGTCTATACCAGATCTTCAAATTCTGTAGACTCAAATGAACAGACAAACTGTACATGAATGGACAAAGCAACTCCATTCATACATGACACAACCCGTAATATCGATGCTGTGGTGTTCAAACTCACAACAAAAATCTAGTCATTTCGTTCACAATAAGCACATAAATCACGAAATACCTACTTTTCCTTAAAACATTATAAACCTTTTGTTCCACCAAACTTGAGGCGATGTGCTGGGCATGATCTCACTCACATCGTGCAGAGCTGCGTCTCCTCTTTCTCCTGCACTTCTCTTTTGTTGATTGTTTTCATTGTGGCGCCAATGCAGCAACACAGTACAGTAAAAACGGCAGAAATACAGCAGCTTACCTCGACGCGAAACACCGCGCAGCCCTTCAGAAACTCCGTGATGTTGCTCAAGCACTCGCTGTCGTTCTTGGGGTCTTGGATAATCTGAGGAAAAGGGCAAGAGAAGTTGGAAAGTGAGCTCTGAGAGTGAAGGGCTGGCTCCAGTATCCTGCATTAGACTAGTGCACGAGCTGACTGACTATAATCACATCCACACACACAAATCGCGAGCACACAAGATCTGCAGCACCGTGGAAGTGGACAGCAAGAGGAGGAAGTGACGTTTGCATGGACGCCGAAGACAATGGGGCAAAAAGGACGCGATCAACACACCCTTGCTCTGGCGGGCGAAATTAAAACGCATCCGTCATTTACAGCAATAATTTTAAGAGGTAAACGAGCTAGATGAAAATCAACACAATCTTACAGCCGTTAAAGCATTCTTATACATTTAATACATCACACATGGGTTTTAAAGTTCATACCAGTCACTGAATTTTCTGTATTAAGGCACTTGTTATCAGTGAAATGTGTTTGGGCTGTAACCAGAATACAAGTGTTTTTATCACTGTACAAATTGAGCAGCATTTGGGTTTTTCAGGTTGGCACTCCTGTTTGAAAACCATTTGAAAGTCACTTGAGTGTATTATTCTTTAATGCTAACTCCAATATATATTTCAAATACCTAAATGTCTTTCCCCATGGAGTTACAATTTTTAGAGTTATTTCAGGAACTGCAGCGGAGCTCCATTTTGTATGTGCCCTAGAGACTTGCCTAGAAGTCCTCTAGAGAGTCTGTCATTGTAGAAATCTTTTTTTTTTTCACTTTCCCAATTTTAAATCAGGTTGTGTAAGGGGTAGAAGGAATTCCTATACAATATGCAGAGCCGTATCTTTAGTTTGAAAGGTTAGTTCACCCCAAAATTATGCAACATTACTTACCTTGTGTAGTTCTGGAAACTCGGTTATCTTTAATAAATATATTTGTCATGAAATATGACCTATTAATATCTCTGCTGTTTACCATTTACACTCGACCAGTGAACATACAAAAGCTTAGCGTACCTGCTTGACATATGCCAACCAAAAATTGGTTCTTACAGAAGCCCAAACAAGCTGCTGTGACACACAGGAATAAACCTCGTTGATTTTTGACTAAATGCACCAATTGCAATTTTTTTAGGCCAATTCTGATTCCATCTTCTTTTTTTTTTGTAAGTGTAATTAGGCATGGGCTGATTTTCTGTAATACTGTTCCTAAGGTATGTGTAAGATTTTTTTATTTACATTTTTTTAGGACAACAGTATCTTCTTCAGCAGAAGAAATATCAAAATATGCTGTTTTAAATTGTAAAGAAATCTGTGTTTTTAAAACTAATGAATTATTTAGCCTGACATGTTTACTGTTCCAAAATATTATAAATCTTTCAAAAAATAAAATATATTGGTTATTGGTATATTGGGATTTTTTTTTACCCAGACATTTAAAAAGAATATATTTTAGAGTAGTCATCACAATACTGTGATATTTGTATCCAAGGTTACCAGAATTTTATATTTTAAGTGTAATCTGCTGATACAGATATTTACCGCTTCTGATTACAACTACAATTCTAATATAGTAACTAAAAAAAAGAAACTATATGACGACACTGCATGCACCGTTAAAAACTGAAAGTGCAAGCTGAAATTAGCAACATGACTGGCCGGTCACAGGTCATGTAATAAAAATCTGCAGATACTATTCCATGTCCATTCAATCAGTGCATCTTTAGTATTCACGTGTAAAGCATGCATGCCTGAGTTTCCATGAATGGTGTATGTTAATCAGTGTTTATAAATCAAACTGTTCTGTCAATCTTATAAAGCAATCGTGACTTAAATCGCTCAGTTCAAGGATTAAAATTATTCACAAAATGTTTTTTAATGAAATGATTTGAGGTAAATACTTTCAATGAAGAGATAAAAATATTTTACATTCGATTAAAAAACAATCATTTGTGTCCTGAAGATAAGCATGTTATTTTGGATTTGGAACAACATGGGTAAGAAAACAAAGAAAGAAATTTCATATTTGGGGTGAACTAACATGTTAAACCACATAAAGAACAAATTGTTCTTTACACTTGTAACAGTTCTATTTACGCACAAAAAAATATTCAATATTCAATATATGCTGAAATGGTTGTTTTAGATTTTAGGATCTTGTGATTTTCTGGGTTTTGTGCCAAAGTACAGCATTACTGACTTTCTAGAGAAACTTCCACTCAGATACACCAAATTCACAAGCAATAATGGACCTGAATGAATGCAACTTAGAGGATTGTGAATACATTTTATTGCATCTGTTTTTTGTTCCTATTTAGCATTTTAATTATTCACATATTTATTCACGTTCATTGTCACTTGTCATTTGTTAATGTATTCAGCTAATAACTGTTGTTAGAGCACTATTATTTATGCTACAATTTCACAGATGACTAAATATGTTGAGTGTCATCACACTTTTTTATGTTAAGAGCTAACAAAGGCTACAAGATATTATGAGACCTGGCAGATAGAGAGATAAAATTACATTAATTAAATATATTATATAGAGATAATGTAAATGTACAAAGGATAATATTACAGATTTACTAACTGATTTACTAATATTAATAAACATAAACTATATGGTTAATATTCAATTATATATAATTTAAATAACCATTAAAGTCAAAGCATGGTTCTTTACGCAACCTTATGAAAATGTTTTTTATGGGTTCTGCTGGTTCAGGTGTGTTAATAGGTTTTAAGCTGAACTGGACCTCCGGGAACTTGTTTGAGAACCCATACTTTAAATCAACTTTTGAAAAACACTTTTGACCCCTAGTGTTGAATGAAACTTAAAACACACTTGCAGGTTGCTGCCAATCAGCAGTAAAATGTGTGTTTGTTTAGGAAGGATATAACAGAGATCTAAATAGGGTGTCCCTTTATTAAATGTTAATTACACCAAAACATGCTTCAGAAAATGTATAAGGACATAGTAAAAATGCATTTAAATTGATATCATTTAATCAAAGTCAACGCAAAAGACAATTGATTTGATTGAAAGTCAATGGGGCAACAGAATTTTCTCAGGTTTCAATAAAATGTTTTCCTTTGCATTCTTAAGATGATTAAAGTCCAATGGGTCTGAAACAACATAGAGGAGTGTAATTGATCCAGGACTGTCATGCATGATGATTTGGTGAAAGATGTTCAAGAAATCAAATGCAATGTCAATAAAGCCCTCTGTGCAGTATCATCCTATTAAGAGCTGCAGACAAAACCTACAATACTCTAGCTTGGAAAGAATACTTTTAGTCAGTGGGCCTAACAGCTGAACCTTTAGGGTTTATTTACGTTGCATTGAATGGTCAGGAGAGATTATATCTCATCACCCTCAAACAACAGATATTTGGGCAAAAACATTTTTAAATAAAAAAAGTAGTGAAAGTATGTCACTAATTAAAAAAGATAATTAAAAAAGTTTTAATTTCAGTTATAATTCAATAATGGTGGCATTGAACATGTTAGTTCTCTTGAATTTTGAATAGTGGCATGGAAAGTCCCGAAATATGATGCTACTGTCTAAAGCAACACATCATGTGCACTAATACTTCTTTTCCCAATTTAAATATGCAAACTTTAGGTTTTTTTACTTCCACATATACTCCTGTTATAAACATCCTATTCACATTGTGTGCGTGAAATTTGATAAGCAAACTAGATGGAGCTTCAAAAGAGGTTCTTGTTGTCATTGACTGTTAGTCACTGTCAGAGCTGACCCTGAATATGACTGATTTCCTAAAACACCCCCCTCTGAAAACACCAAACCAAGAAGGACAGGCTCCATGCATTATTTATAGATTAGACGAACTGCTTTGGAAAACAAGCTGGATATCATTATACCTGAGTGGTTGTGCGCTGCCTTTAATTATATCAAAAATAAAGTAAAAAATAATATTTTCAGCTTGAATGGTTCCCCCTAGCATGGCCTACAGGCATATTAAGATCTCTGTGCCTTTCATATTTGCATTTACCCTCAGGCATTTTGTTCAGTTGAATATATTGTTTTCACACTTATACTGTGACTTGTTTTTACTCAGTTTTTGTGTGCTTTATTGTTGTTTAATCATTATGACGATATCAATATAAGATAATATTGTGCTGGACTGCAGCTGAATTCATTAACTGTGCCTTTCTAAATTGCATTGCATTGCATAGGAAAGAAGCAAGGGCTTATGGGAATGAAAAACACTGTATCTTTAAAAAGAAAGCGCATCTGCTTTTGTCTGTTTACTGTGTTTGGTGGTGGTGGCCCATTTTCAATGTAAGAAATATAAGCAAGGATACCCAGCTAACCTTGATAATACCAAACAGATTAATGCTATTCATACACAGCCATGTAATGCGATTTGAACGCGCTTATGCTTAGGTTTTTATAACGTATACTAACTAGGTTATCACTTACAGTCTGTCAATATCAACATTTACCGCTTTTCTATGAAAAACGACAGTCAAATGTAAACCCTCAGTTCAGTATAGCCACAATACATTCGTCGACTGCCAGTGTTGTTGCCTGGAGCAACAGCAGCTCTAGCGCGCGCTGAACGCCTCGACCTGCCGCTGCCGCATGGGCTGCGTTTACATTCACACAGAGGATTAAACATCTGTTCTGACCCACAAAACATACACGAATTGGTCACTTATCAGATAATACATATCAACGCGTGCGTTGGGTGAAGAATGCAGGGGGGTGAAGTGTGAAACGCGGTGCGCCAAAGGGAGGATGCGCGCTTACTTTATCAGTAGTGCCTGGACGCAGCCGCTCCAGCAACCTGCACAGGACGACCCCATCCTTCAGCGAAGCCTGCAGAAATCCATCGGGGTCCGAAATGGTCTTTTTTGGTGATTCCAAAACCCCAAGGGTAATGAGCCAAGTAACCGTTTGTTCCGCCGGATTCATGGCCACACCAGCAAGGTCGACGCTCACTGTATTATGACTGTAATGGGGCAAAAATCAGGCTGTCTGTTATTAACCAGTCGTTGAACTGGGCACCATTTTCTCTAAAACGGGTTATTTGAAGGATGGCTCGTTATACGGCGCTCCATGGAGATGAGTAATGCTATCGCTTCGCTCCCATTTCCTTTTATTCCGACAAGCTGTCAAACGCCTTTCACTGGAATACAGTCACAGCGCAGTAAAGCTGCATCTTCCGGCAGATGACATCACAGCATAGACAGCCGTATGTGACCAGTCGCCTTCGCGTCCTGCTTTACATGTGTGTATGTGTGTGTGTGTGTGTGTGTGTGTACTGCGTACATTCTCCTGCTCTCTGCCTGATAAATGTGGCATAACGGAAAGATCTGTTGTACATGTGTTTATGCGTTGCTTTTATTATAATCTCTATAGAGATTAGTCAAATAAAGCTTATGGTGAACGACCTTATTTTGGTTAAAGGCATATAGTCAAATGTGTGTGTTAACAATCATACACATATACAAAAAAAGATCATGCAGCTATATAGCTTATTGTTTTATCAAACTAGTGCAGTTTCTGTGTGGTCCGCAGGATGGCGATCTTTGTCAAAAGATTTGAGAATGATATGCTTTGCCTTTTAATAATCTAAAAGGTATAGTTCACAACAGTGAAAATTGCCTGTTCACTCTCAGGCCATCCAAAGTAAAAAATTAGAAGAAAAAAGTACTTTTACAATCATTGTTGTTCTGTTTGTGTAAACTGATTTTTTTATGAATAGTTGATAAAAATAAAACGCTATTTTTATTAGTGTAATGTCTCCTTACTGAACAAAAGTATACATTCAAAAATAATGCAACAAAAACATTTAAACCTTGTGCATTACATACATTGAATAAACAATTTTTAAGTTCACCTGTTCAACAGCGTATCAGTTATGCTTATCAATTTTAAAGCTTTTAGACATTAGACATGGTCAAGACAGCAGTCCTGTAGCCAGCCTGGTGAAATGGGTTGTTCTTTTTTTTTTTTTTTTTTTTTTGTCAAAAAGTGGACCTTTTTGCAGTTATATGTCTCGTTTTCTGTTTAATTATGAGATTTAAATACTGCATTTAGTGACATTTTAAGCACTATTTTTAGCTGGATTAGCTTGCCAGATGGTCATCATATAGCTACACCTTTTGATGTACCAAAATATTTCCTAAAGGTTTATAATAAAGAAATGTAAAGAATAAAGCATATTTTTAAACTACAAATTTACTACATCATCATTAGAAAAAATAAGAATCTATTAAAGTTTTCAACTCTCCCCAGTCAGAATATGGCTATGTATACTCAAATTCATTTTAATATGGGCTGCTTTTTGTGCTTCATCCCTTTTTATTGGTCATTTTATGAAAACTGCTTTTATTCTAGCCAAAATAAAACAAAGAAGACTATCCTCAAAATAAAAAAATATATATTATCAGACATACTGTGAAAATTTCCTTGCTCTGTTAAACATAATTTGGAAAATATTTACAAAATAAAATGAAAATCAAAAAGGGGATAATAATTCTGACTTCAACTGTATTTGGTAACATTTGCCAAAACCGAGTAAATGAAATCACACCAAAGCGACAGCCAACAGAGGATTCTGCTTGGTCTAAAAGCCTTTTTCGATGGGTCATTTTCATTTATTAATGACGGCATAGCAATCAAAATAGGACAAATGAGCTCATGTATTGGACAAATTCTCCACCTGTGTCAGTGAGGGATGGGTATTCCGAATCAGAAAACTCCCCCTGGCTACGGGTCTGATTAGCGTATCAGAATAGGGAGAAAATATAATTTCAAAGACTTTGAGTATGGCATGCTTGTTGGTGGTGGGCTTTTTCACACTCTATGGGCTGATCTGGCTATTTTAGAAACTGCTGATCTGCTGGGATTTTGAATCTCTAGGGTTAACAGAGAATGATTCGAAAAAGAGAAAATATCCAGTGAGCTGCAATTCTGTGGGGGAAGTGTCTTGTTGATGCTAGAAGTCTGAGCAAAATGGACAGTTCAGGCTTCAAAGAAAGGTAACAATAATTAAAATACTCATTACTTTCAACCAAGGTCTTGAGAAGAGCACAGACATCAAATTTTAAAGCAGCAGAAGAGCGCACCACTGCCACTCCTGCCAGCTATGTGTAGGAAACCAAGATTTAAAAAAAAAAGGTCAGAATCTTGATTTCTGCTGCAACATTTCCATAGTATTGGTTAAGAGTTTGGCATAAACAGCATGGATCCATCTTGCCTTGTAAATCAACAGTTCAGATTTCTGATGGTGTAATGTTTTTTTGGCATATTCAAACACTTTAGTACCACTTGAGTATCGTTTAAAACCACAACCTCCCTGAGTATTCTTGCTGACCACGTCCATCCCTTTATGACCACAGTGTATTCTTCCTGTCATGGCTACATCAATCTGGATGCCATGCTGCAAAGCTCAAATTATCTTAGCCTGGATTCTTCAACTTGAACTTGAGTTCATTATACTCAAATGGCCTCAACAGCTCTTAATCCAACAGAGCAGCTTTGATTTGAAGAAACAGGAGATTAACATCATGTATACCCTGCAAACCTTCAGCAACTACAGTATGTGATGCTGTCATCTCAATATGGACCAATATTACATTTGCTGTTGAATCATGCCTTTAATAATTAAGCAGTTTTGCTGGCAAAAAAATGTCAATTTCAAGGTTGTGTATTTTCATATGCAAAAAGTAACCAATCTCTAAGATATAAAATCCAGTAAATAATGTGATCACTTTCTATCCAAGGGTTATTGTCTTATTGGACAAATTAGACTTTGGGCATAAATAAAGTATAATCACAAATAGTGTTAGTAATACATATTTTCAACATTTATTTATTATTATTGTTTATTTTATTTTATTTTTTTGGAAAAGCACAAGCAAGAAAAGAGGGATTAATAAAAAGCATACAACCATAATTTTGTCCCCTTATTTTGCATCTGGAAAGGTTAGAAAGTGCCTCTCTGTGAATGTATCATGAAGTGAATTGAGGATTTCAGGAGCAAAGATCAAGTAGAAGTAAGCATGCACCAAGCCTGCGCATGTTCCATGTTCAACCATCAATGTAATGTGTATTTATATTGCACAATTAATGTTTATGGTGTAAGATTTGAGATATCACAAATATTTTGATGTCATTGACAATTCAAACATGAGCCGAAAACAGAGACAATTGACTCCACAACCCAGCAGGCGGAAATGCAGGAAAAAAACAGCCCCCCCTCCATTTACATTTAAATCCCCTGAAACCCCTTTGTTCAACCACCCCAACTCAGAATGGTCATTTCAAAGTCTAAATGTTCTAAATCAACCCAAGTGACTTTATCTATCATGTTTGATATCATTTGAAATGTCTCAGTGCGACTGGTACAATGGTCTCATTCCCTCAGAAATAGACATAATCAAAACAATTAATATATGACTTCAGGTATCTTTTGAACTACTGTGAAGGGTGTGCCTTTCCTATAGGCTGAAATTATTCCACTAAATGCAAATGCCTTTTTTTATTCACACATCCCTTTTCTTGAGAGGATTCTTGGATTACTTAAGGGAAGGTTTGAAAAATGTTCGGGGCGATTCTGCTTACCCAGATCAGCTCATAACATGGAGCTCTAGTGCTCCATGTTATGTATATCTTGAAGTCAGGTATGCATCTTTTAATCTTGGATTTGTCTAAAATAATTTGATGTCTTGTATTGATCGTTTATGAATTGACTGAATGAATTGCCATAATACACATTTACCTGGCTAATAAATTGTTATGTTTTGAATTATTCAAACAGAGTTCGTGTAAATATCCCTAGTATTACCCCAGATTACGTTAAGTCCATAGAACCACAAGCCTCTGTACAGGTTAGTAACGGACTAAAACACGTTAGACAAAGCAGTGTGCCACGTTACACAATGTTTTTAGAGATCTGACTAACATATTGGCATTAATTGAAGTATACTTAGACTATAAAAGGCCAATAATGGGTTTTCTATTTAGAACAACAAAATATTGTTGAGACTAATCTAAATGTGGGTAAGTTAGGCCTTCATCTACAAACTTATACTATATAAATCATATGGTGATTATTCAAAGTTACTAATAGTTTCTTGATTCTATAAACTAATGATTATGGTATGACTAAAATAGTTTGTCATGATTCAGTAGATAACAGATCTATGGGGATCACATAAAATATCCTAAATTGAGTAAGTAGGGTTCTGCCTTTTAGGAGAGTGGTTAATCGCCTCTGTTTAATGACCAAGACTGACAAGCATGTGTTTAAGAGATTGTATACTCGGCCGGTACAAGACTCAGGATGCTATAGGAATCTGAATAATGAGAATAATATATAGTAACAAATTGAAGAGAATATTCAATCATAATTTAAAATAATATTAAAGAAAGAAAAATACTACCTCATACTAAAATTGGGGTCAGATATGAGTTAAGTTTAAAGTAAATCAACATTGTACACTGGAAAGACCGAACATGCAGTGAAACTTCATCCACCAGTGGACACCGTCATTGGACCAACTGGCTGGACCCTACAATGGCCATACACCCAAAGCGCAAACACCACCACCACTGTGCAGCATCCATTTGGATGATGAGACTGAAGCCACAGAACAAGGGCGCCAGTGCGTTCACCATAAACCAGCTATTGGTGGAGTGGAAAGACAACGATAGAGCCAATTCAGATGATTAAGAGGCCATGATGGGTAAGGGCCAATAGAATAAATTTGGCCAGGACACTGTGGTTACACCCCTACTCTTTGCAAGAAGTGCCATGGGAATTTTAATGACCAGAGAGTCTGGACCTCGGTTTAACTTCTCATCTGAAAGACAGCACTCACTGACAGTATAGTGTCCCCTTCACTATACTGGGGCATTAGGACAACAGGTTGACCTCCCCTTGCTAGTCTCACCAACACCATTTCCAACAGCAACTTAGTTTTTTTTCATGTGGTCTCCCGTCTGACCAGGCTCAGCCATGCTTAGCCTCGGTGAGTAACCGGTCTTGGGCAGCATCGTGATATGGCTGTTTCAAACTACATGCAACTGATAACAAGTGCATAGAGATGAAGAGAGGTGTGAAGTGGGCTCTCTTGGGCTTATTGAAGACCAGTCCAGCTGCAGCATGCAGAATACTAGTGCAATCGTCCAGCATATAAATG